TATACAGGATGTTCGACCACCCCTGAGAAAAAATTTAATGGAAAATTCTGGAGGCCAAAATAAGACGAAAATGAAGAATATCCATTTCTTGACTGAGGCAAAAAGTCATTAAAAAATTAAATTCAACAATTTCAAATCGTTCTGGAAAAATTATTTTCAGTTGCGGGGGTCAATTACAATAATTTTTCGTGAACACACATACCCCCGAAATCCTACGCATTTTCGAGAAAAAAAATTCCTTACCAAAAATCTAATGTGATGGTTCCCCGAAACTTCAAGTGAATCTTTGAAACATCATAACTTGTGAACGAATTGGACGATTTTAATGTTTCAAAATGCAAACGACGCGTATTTTGACGAAGAATATGTGGAAAATCCAAAAATATTCGAAAAGTTATTCCTTGACTCCGCAAAATGAGAAAAAGCCTATAAAAAATGGTCCAATTTTCAAACAGCCATAACTCCTACAATAGCGAATATATTTCAATGAAACTTTGGGGGGAAGTAGAGCTCATGGGTACCTACAAAAAAGGACTAAACAACTTTTCCGTAGCGCGTCAAACAAATTTGTTAAAAATCAAATACCAATGGTTAAGAAAAATCAACAGGGCAGGTGCCTAAATTTTTCGACAAAAAAAAATTTCGAATCGTCCTGAAAAAATTATTTTCAGTTGTGGAGGTCAATTACAATCGTTTTTGGTCATTAGGCATACCCTCGAAATCCTACCCACTTTCGAGAAAAAAATTCAAGATGTGAAATTTTTCGGAGGAAAAAAAAAAAATTCAAAATCGTTTTGGAAAAATTATTTTCGGATGCGGGAGTCAATTGCAATCATTTTTAGTCATTAGGCATACCCTCGAAATCCTACCCACTTTCGAGAAAAAAATTCGAGAAGGTGTGAAATTTTTCGACAAAATTAAAAAATTTCAAATCGTTTTGGAAAAATTATTTTCGATTACGGGGGTCAATTACAATCATTTTTAGTCATTAGCCATACCCTCTAAATCCTACCCACTTTCGAGAAAAAAATTCGAGAAGATGTGAAATTTTTCGACGGGGAAAAAAATTCAAAATCGTTTTGGAAAAATTATTTTCGGTTGCGGGGGTCAATTACAATCATTTTTGGTGAATAGACATAACCCCAAAATCCTGCGCATTTTCGAGAAAAAAATTCAGTACGGACGGAACTTTAAATGTTAATAACTTTTTAACGAAGCCTCCATCAACAAATTGGTATTCTTGATTTTCGTTCTATTTTGACCTGTAGAATCTCTCATTACAATTTTTCCTAGGGGTGGCCGGACACCCTGTTGTATAGGCTCTTCCAACACGCAATGTAAAGGCTCTCTTTATTTCCTCCTCCTCTTTTTCCCCTCTTTTCTTAGCTTATCTCACATGTAATGTCTCGATACTATCTCCGCATTCATTTCTTTTTTACCATTCACCAGGGCTCGCGTTACGTTCAATTTTACGCTATATTATCTCTCTACACAAAAATCTGATTAAAAACCTCGTTGAATTTAACCCGTTAAGAACCGATTTATTGGTTGCTCGATGCTTTTGTACATTGATCGTCAGAATTTGATTGTAGAAATTAAAACCTGACAGTAATTTTGAGGTTAGAAATTTTCTTCCATTTTAGGGAAGTGCCTTTCGAAGAGTTTACAAAACGACCGGTTTAAGACATCGTTCGCGACCCCAGATTTCGGCAGATATCTCGAATTCCGTGGCAAAATCCATCAAGGGACGCCCAACGTATTATTAGCATCGCGATGATACACTTACGTAATGGAAAAAGCGCCGGGACGCGACGAGCGTGATTCCTTCTTTGCTATGGCGGGCTCCGGGGAGTCGCTAATACATGCATGGTGCCACCATCGATCACGCGCGTTCGTGAAAAATGTAAATTTGTTCGGCGAATGACGAGAATCTTAGCAGACATGTACCGAAAGGACAAATTCGTAAGATGACTTGGGAGAAACAGAGAAAGAGTGGGAGGGGGAGAGAGGAAGGGGAAAGACACTGCTCTTTGGATCGATTGAAAATTATATTAATATTCGCTCGTCAAGTCGTTCGTCCTTCCAGAAACTGGCTCGTCTGTTTCACTGAATCCAAAGAAACAATTTATCGACGAAAATAATTCAGAAAAACATATATCCAACAAATTTTATTCTATTAATTAAAAAAGATAATAATTATGGTACAACCCAATATAGTACCTCTCTTTTTGGAATCCAATCGGAACAAAACAGTCGTAAAGGGTAATTTGCAAGTATCCCTAACGCAGATTGGTGCAACAAGCGAGGCAATACTGTATTACCAAAGGTGGGTAAATTTTATCATCGTTGGTCGAGTTATTCAAAAATTGTCAACGTAACCCCATAATTGAATTCCTCGAATCAAGTTACTTGAATTTTCAGAATTACTCGGGCAATTCAATGGAAACTTTTCGAATTTGTGCGAACAGTTACTTGGAACATTAAAACACTTGTTTCGACCCGACGAATCGAGTTGTTGGAGTTTCGCGTTACTGGAATAATTCAGGCACCTGTGCAGTCTCTATTACACGATATTCTTCACTTCGTGAGACACTACAACGCGATGAAGAGAACGAGATTATTGCACGGCTCTTATCACCCGTTGTACGGCGCGATGTAAGCATTATGGTAATATAATTAAACGAGGAAAAAGACTTTGATAAAATCTACTTTGTTGGGGCTGAATGTTACAGAGCGATACAACGCGTAATTGCGTTTGCATTAATTAAAAATTTCGCGGAACTTCAAGTCCATGAGATATGAAAGAAAAAATTAAAAAAAAAAAAAAAAAAAAAAAAAACTGCTGTTGCAGTATCGTTCATCGTTTTTTGTCCAACAGATATTAATTAATTTTCACCGTTCAACGTTGTGTAATTCGTAACCCTGCGTCGCGAATAATAATATGCTTACAGATAATGCCACGAGTGAGAGAAACATGCAAAATATAAATTGTTTTTTCTTTTTTTGCAAACTATGTATCTAAAAAAAAATTGTGAATGTAAAGATCATAGTCGATAGATGTCTATTTATGCTTTTTATGTCTGTAAGTAACTATCGATAGTTCCGTGTCAAAGTGAATATTTTCACCGTGGTGGAGTGAAATCAGCAATGACTGTACGAACAAGGTAGCGTTCGCTATGTCGAGAAGCATGAGTCACGGTGTCTGAAGCTTTTTCAAATCCACAGGTAATATTCCGCATCCGCGTCAGGAACGAAAAAAAAATTTTAATAAAACGTGAAAAGTCGTCCGAGAAAGTTGGAACGCCTATCAAATGACCGATTAATCGGCAATGTACGGGTTTACTTAACCTCACAAAGAAAGTACTACGCTTACTAAATATCTTAACCCTCTTGCGTGAAGTAAACATTCCATAACTTCTTAACGAAGAAAAACAAATTCAATTTACTGCAAAATATGCAATTCATTCAGTTTCGAAAGCTAACAAAAATGTATAAAATCAAAATGAACATAATCAATATTTTGAAAGCTATTCGTCTTCTTCAAATCAAATATATAAATGTTCTTTCCTTTGTTTACTTAAAAAGTTGTTTACTTTGAGCCGATATTGCCCGTACATAGCGCACACACACACACACTCTAATAAAATTCAACAGCTGGCTGTAAAACAGTCTCGTCGTTTGCTATGGAATGCATAAGTCCAAGGGTTACACTTGAAACAGTATGTCAGCCTACAAATATAATTTAAACCATCCCCAATTACTCTGATACCGCCCTCAGATTATAATCTTATTAATAAAGGAGGCGTAAGGACAAAGATTGTACATTCACAGTAAAATTAAAATTAAAGGAATATACAAAGTCGCGATTCGTTCGATTCCACTTTATCACCACCGTGCAAGGGATCTGTGATTTTGTTGACAGAAGAAACGAGACGTGGGCAAAGAAATTCGTAAATGAACGGGCAGAGACCGTAAAAACAAAAGGCGAGATGACATCCTACGCGAAACGCTAAGCTTGTCGGTTGAATAAATAGAATTTTAACGAACGACTGTGATGCTTCTTTCACGATCGTAAAAGTTCCGTGCGAGAGCTTCGTGCAAGTCGCAAGTCACGGGTCGTCGTAAAACTACTTCCGTTTGCAGAACAAAAGCCGCTTTACGAGAAGACTTACGACATGCAGAGCACGTAACCGCGCGGCCAACGACTACCCCGATTTTTCATGGGGAAATCTTGAAACGTGAAAATTTATATAAAAATCCTGGCGCCGGGGAACGAAGTAGACGGGAATGGGTAGGGAACGTTTTACGAGTTGAATCACGATACCGATGAAACGTGCATCGTGCTAACGGAGGGCAAAAGATGACCAAGTTCAACCGCCGCGAATAAAGCATGTACAAGCGTTACATGGAAAGTCAGCCGCACGATCGTCCTCGGACCTAACCGATACACAGAGAAAACGAATTAACACTAGTTGCTACACATTACCCCTAAATGGTAATCGTATCATGTGCAATAACACTATCCACGAGGCACGTGAGGACCGTGTCCCGTTCGGTGATCTAAAAGCGAGGTTTCCAACGTCGTCCGTCGCTAGCCGTCGGCCAGAAATGCGGGTAGCCTTTAATTACGGTCTAACTCGAAATTCGTCGACGAGCACCGTCCCCGTCCGTCGCGTTCTTATCAAACACGTTTACACACATGCACACACGCGACACACGATGCTCGACCGTGGAACACGATGTACATATATATATACACACACGACAAAACACAAATCGTGCCCCGAACAACTTTTGCCTGCGAGCAACGGCCGCGACACGCTCGAGGCTTTTCGTCGGTCAGGAAACGGTCGCGAATTTCGCGAACGATACGTGAAATAAGGACCACGGGGGGGTAGGACCTGGTCAAATACGATACCGGGGAAATAAAGTCACGGGGTAGAGAGAAAGGAAGAAGAGTCGGGAGGCACGAACAAGTTCACGTTAGCAGGCACGCTTACCTCTTGGTGGCGTCGAGCAACGCGCCCTGGAAGCACTTGGCACCGTGAACGAAGGACACGACGACGATGTCCGGTAGCGCGGACTCGACGGTCACGAGGATCTTGTCGCCCCTGGCGAGCGTGAGCGCGGACAGGGCCACCGTGTCCGCCGCCATCTTGGCTCGTTAGAATTATTGCTCCTCGCCGTGTCGAGGCCCGTCGTCTCTCTCTCAGCGGATGACGTGAGGAGCGGCTGGGGCTGCCTCACTCTCCTCCGTGTGTACGGAGGCCATGGGCTCACCAAGGCATGCTAGGGGTGGGGGAGACAGGAGGGCAGTCTCTGGCTGTTTGCTTGCTCGCTTGCTCGCTCGTTCGCTCGCTTGCTTTCCTAGCAGCCACCACCGTCGCTCGCGCTGCGTTTCACGTCCACGCACAGCTGGGCACTAGCGCCTCAATGCGCATGCACGCCACGGTACTCCCACTACGCCGTACCAGGAACGTGCCACGGCCGCGTCGAACCCACGATGCTACGCGAAATCATAACTATTGCTTCCAATTACATTATCTTGCAACAATGGTTTCTAAACAATTAATTTTCTTTTATCTTTCAAGCAATGGATACGGTTTGACGATAGGAAATATAATAATATGAATGCCAACGTTTCGACAGCCTCGTTCGAAGGCTCCTTTGGAAAAATATACACGAAATTGTTGTTAATTTCGTGTGCTACTTTGTACTAGCTTTGTAGATTGTTAAAAAAGTCGTATCCCTTGATGGACCTTGATTGGCCCGATGATAGCCAAAATTGTATTCGAATAAAAGCTCTGTGTAACGATTTATTTGCAACAATTATTCGTTCGACAGGAAACATATTTTGATTTCTTATTGAACAAATGGCTCAAAAATTGTTTATCGTTTATTCAAACTGTTTATTTGGATAAGAAATTTGCCCGTATCTACTCGAAGACCAAAGGAAACTAACCTTTTAGAAACTCTTCATCTAATACGGCAACTATAGGACAAAATGAACAAAGCAGTTTTACTGACCGATTAAAATATATCAATAACCAAAAACACGAGGCTTCGTGGTTATGCAAGCAATAATATTTCATATCATTACCGATTAACAAATTATTGAACATTTTCGATTCGATGCTGGTCGTCTTCGGAAAAAATAAAATATATTTTCTTTTATCTTAAAAAAAACAATATAATGTAGGTTCTCTATAGCCCATTGTGACTTTGCCAAAATCCTGTTATATAGTTTGTTTTCAGATAGAATGCAGAATTTGCAAATTGAATAATTAAAAAATGGAATAAAGCAACTTTATGGACCAAAGAAGAGTGACTAAAAACCGTTCAATAATTTGTTAACCGATAGCGATATTAAATATTATTGCTTGACTACACATCTTGTGTAAAAAAAAAAATTTCATATCAATAATCGCCATGTCTACTCGAACACATCGCTGGCAATATCTTACAAAAATACTCATTAGACCGTTGATATCGATGATACGATTTGTTACTACGTAGCAACTAATTAACTAACAAACAGTCGAAATGTTGTACAATTGTAAAGACTGGAGTTAAAATATTCGTCAATACTATAGTCTAATTAACAAATTAGTATCGTTGATCAAGGATACTGTATATTTCCTTTTATTTCGTCAATTTTTAATACAGACATTTTTAAATATTACGAGAGTAAAACATACGAGATATGTATATTTAATGGCTATGTTGCTTCCCATGTAAATATTCCAAAACGAATTACAAAACGAAGAACTTACTTGATGCATGGTTCATACGGCACTGTACTTTGTCCCAGGACCGTAGATAACGTTTACAACGCCCTTCGTCTGCACAAACAAACTCCACAAAGAGGGTAACATACGTTAGAAAGTAAAAACCTTTTTTAGAGTATACATATCTCTTTTCTTTTAATTGAACGTGTATTCCCCCTTATAATTTATCCTGTCCAAGACGGGGGGCAACAGCTACCCGGTTTTAAGTATAATTTTCTTTCACACGATGCGTCGTGACCAGTCTGGATACACTACTCTACACACATACTTTTCGGAAGCATTCTTTCTCCATAGGACGGTGGGGACAGCCTGAAAGAATGAACCATTATTCCCTATAGAAACACATTCCATCGAAATCTGCGTTATCAACATCGTTCTACGATTTTTATTTCTTTATCGTTCAGGTACTTTGGTATTCGTGACTTTATTTTGTATATCTCTCGATGAGAAAAACATAAAGATTATCGGTAATCGTGTGGCACTCCCTTTTTTGCTCGCTTTGTGCACGACTAGACGTGGATCCAACAAAGAGGCAACGCTATCTTCAATTCGTAAACGATACCACAGGCACGAAGATCTCGAGATCTGCCCCCTCTAATCGACGTTAATTGAAACATAAATTGAATATGTGTTTTTTTTATAGTTGTTCGATATATTCACCCGCGAGGCAATATTCATTGCATCTGACTAAACGAACGGAAAATTACACAAACGTAATCGAGCAACTTTATAATCTGGTCTAATACTGGAATTAAAAAGATTTCCCTAAAAAAAATTATCTGATAACAAAAGTCAATAAATAGCAAATATAATATGCATACAGAGTAACGTGATGGAAAATTATGATCATCTATACAAACATAGCTCGATACCTAGACTGTATATCTAATTAAGCAAACTAAATATTAACAGTATTATATTAATTTATGAAACATCAACATACGCCATAAATACATAAAATATCGATCGTTTATGTCACGAATCTCCATGAGTTACTCGTTCGTTTATGTACGGTATAACGTTCTATTTGGAAATTAATGCGTATTGTATAATAAGGTTAGACGGTTCATCGATATCTATTAATCGCGGAACGCGCACCGGAAGTCGGCGTAGATGCGCCGGGCAACAGCCGTGGACATAACGCGGACCGAAATTACAGCAGAAATATTACGAAATAATAATTCGCGACAGTTTTAGCTACAATATGGTGGCGCGTGACGAACGAGGTCGAGTTCTACTTTTTCGCGTGCACGGAAGTATACAGCTCTTGGTCGGCCTCGTGATCCGACTTTTCGTGCACACTGGCCGCGTCGCAAAGGCTACGGAAACAACAACGGCGAAAGAAAAAGAAGGAAACGCTAGGCGGAGAGTCCGCGGGACGGACGGACGGACGGGAGCATCGCGAAAGAAAATCACGCCGCGAACGTTTCAGGAATTCGACAGGAGTGTCCGTGAACTTGATACTGTTCGCTGACCTTCGCCACCGGGCGTTATTTAAACTTTCTCCGCTCCCGTCGTTTCATAACATTAACAAAGAGGCCTCCGTGCAAAACTACTCGAGATAACGAAAAGAAAAGTGACATCAACACGGGGATGAAATGTCAACGACGAGCCTAACGAGCTTCATTCGCATAGGGCAATACTTTATGCTGTTTAGTAAACGGTATCGTAACGTAATAGGTATACGAAGTCCATTTCAACGGCCGTATACGTATATGTCTCCGATATTAGCTCTACATTGTCAATATTATTGCGCAACTCGGAATATTGCGCACTCTATATCGAGCGTTTAGGTTTAGGGCGTTCTTCAAACTGACATGATATTCGTGTACCGTATGGTTAAATTTTAAAACATCAATTTGCGTATTCATACAATTTAAGTGGATTTTACTTTTAATATGAATGCATTTGTTTCATTTATATATAATATACACGGTTATTGATAGCGATCCTTGTAAATAAAAATATCGAAATACTAGCTGCACTTTCCTCGTTATCGACAAAATTGACCTTGGCGAAACGTGACCCTTATACATATGTATGCTCAATTATAGTATTATATCTGTCAGCGTTGTCGGAATTATTAATAATTAATTAAGAGGATGAATAGACTGAGGCCTTTTAAATGTCACAGCGAGCAAGAATCCATATGATCGACTTGTAGGTTCACGTCCACCAAGTAATCTTTGTTGATATCCGTGATAATCTCGTACAACCTTAAACTAACGTTCCGGACCAATTCTTCTGTATACATGCAGCAAGGCGCGAAGAAACACGTTTTCGATATCGCTCATAAATATAACAGTGGATTTTACAAGTCCAACTTTCTACTTATTAACCAGTTCCTGGCATCTCAGAATTTTTCGATGAATGGTGTGCCTTAATAAAATAATATTATGTAACCATAAAGTCATAATAAGTCAACGATGTTTGTTTAATTTGTATTACCACAGAGCTCTAAAAATTTCATCCACCGTATCTACGCCCAATCGGATTTTATGGACGACGTAAGAAGGGCGGGGGTAGCGGATTTTCAGCGCGAGTCGCTGTAGATAGGAAACTCGTAAGAAAAAAGTTATTCAAAATTATGGATCTTTTTCCCATCCGTAGCAAGTCGGATGTGTGACTCCCCTCGCGAGAGAGAGAAGGACGGTTGATACAAAGCGCATGGAACAGCCGCGATAACAATAATAAAGAGATGGGCGCGCTGGAAGGGGAGAAGCGCAGGGGCGTATCGAAACGGCGCTCGCGTTTGGGCGCCGTCCGATCAGCTGGCGTGTGCGCCGTTACGGCGAAACACCAGAACGGGCCAGGCTCTCCAGAAGTGACACGTTCGTTTCACGGTAAGCATACGAAAAAAAATATCTCGATCGTTGGAAAAAATCAGTTGCACAATGTACGGTCGTTGCACGAGCGGTGTATCGACGAAAGGTGGGGAAAATCAGCGCGATGCTCGCCGGTCGGGTTCGCGATATCGTTCTTGAATGAAAATGTACCGGCACTATGACGGAAACTGGGTCGTTCGTCGACCGCCACCTTCTTCGACGGTGAATATGTAGTCGATAATCACCGCGAGGGCCACGAAACGTTCCATGAGATTCTCGTTCGAACGGATGGCTGTCGCCAAGTGTCTTGTCGCTACGCAGCAACGAGGAACGAGAGAAACTGTGGACGACGGGGTTGAGAGGTGTGACAAACGGGAACGAACGAAACGCGCACGGCAGATTCGATCGGGCGTTTCGTAGGTTATGCCGCGTTTCGAGCAGAATGGCATGTATCGCTGGACTGGGGCCCCGCATGACGATACAACACGAGTATGCACGATCGGATATCGAACTCCACCGACACGAAACCGAGTGGCTCACGTGCTTCGCGACTATATCGATCGATGGATCAAATTCGGCATTGTCCGTTAACGTCGCGTTAGAATTCGCGGGGCTCGAATATTCGTTCCAAGTTTTCCTTAACGTTCGACGTACCCGTTGCAAGAATAGTGTCGAACGATCGATACATCCAGCTATCGGGTCAGAACGATCGATTAGAAATGTACGATGGGGAGATATCGTCAATTTAAATGACGCATAAATATTTGGAATTTCGTATCAATTGCTGTTTTTCTCGTATCTTGAAGATTTAGAGTTATTAGCGAGATAACAGATTTTATGATGTTTGCATAGAGAAGCAATTACAGCGATATCTAAATTGTGCTACGAAATTTCGCGATTTACTACCTGTAAAATCATTATTTTTTTTGGCATTTCTCTCGTACACAAGTTAGTACAAAATATGGGTATAGGTATACAATTAAGCGTTGCTGGGTTATCGTTTGACTTGCAAATAAAATATATCTTAAACTTTAAGATAAATGCGCGAGTTCTAAATAAAGCTTATCGAAGACTAAAAGTAAAAGAAAAATAGATATGGCGACCATGGATTAATTGCACGTTCGTTCGGTCTACATGTATTCTGTTTGTTTTTTTATATCCTTTTAAGGATCGTTTTGCGTTTCGTTGATTAGAATTTTTAAATTCAAAACGATATAGAATTTTTATGGCAATGTTATGACTGTCTCGGGTCGCGGAGCCTGCTCGCGCTCGCAGTTATAAATATGACGTTAAGAGGCCTCCTTGAGTTTATCGCGTTCCTTTCTTTTTTTGAATTTCTTTAAAGCACTTCAGTGAACGATACTTTTAACGTGAGGCTAATTGACGGGGTCTCGCGTCTGTTGAAGAAGGTTGAGGTGACAGTAGCCCTCGATCAAGAAAAATGGGGGAAGAAAGGTTGGACTTGGAGAAACCACTGTGGGACCTGAGCACCTTCGTGGGCAGATGGAAACACTTTGCTTGGATGACTGACTTCAGAACCTGCATTGTGCCCGAATCTGAGCTGCTCAACGCGAAGAAATTATGCGACGACTACAAGTGAGTTTGCTTGAATAAAAGCCAATTTCTAAGGGGCTATTGATTCGAAAACAGGACTTATAAAGGGAAACATTAGAAATGGGTTTACTCTGTGAATGAGTGTATTTGAATGAGTCGTAAAATCTGAATACTCGAGGGAGTTGAAAAAAGATCGAGTGAGAGATTTGAATGCGCAGAGTGGGGTGGCGTCAAAGACACTTGAAGGCCACTTATAACCTGTAACATACAGAAAATGGCGTTAATTTTTACAACTCAAACGCCGTATATCTCAAAATTAATTTTAAGTGTTTTTCACTTTATATGCAAATCATCTTCAGATTATACAGACATTAATCTACATTGCAAATAGCCTTTTCATTAGCATTGTAAGAATAACTAACATTGTTTTCTTTAGTAAACGTGTGTGTTGTTTAATTATTTCTTTACTGAAGTTTCTTCTTGATTTATTTTTTATGTACCACTTGTCTTGTTTAATAAATACCAACAGACTTAAATATCTTGATATAAATATGTTAATAAAACATAATTGCAAATAAATGAAAATAAATATTTTCGTTTAAGACGCCCGAGAATAAATTCTTTGATTTGCGCATTTATCGTGGAAATTCTCAGAGAATACTCTTGCATAACAAACGTTATCGGTACATATACTTCGCGGTATTAACCATTTCAAGGTTGGTTATAACTGATTGTAAAAAATTTTTTGTTTTTCGTACGACTGACTCATTTCGAAACGGTCATTAATTTCCATCGATTTAATTATGTCGAGAGGAATTTTTTTTTAATTTTTGCATTACTTAAGAAATTTATGATACACAGAATGTTTCGAATTTTTCAAAATTAGTATTCGAAACGTTTTAAGTACAGAAAATATTTGCTACAGTCATTTGATGTTTTTTTTTTTGCGTCTACAAAAATCAATAGTCCGTTTATCCCTTAGACTTGGGAAGGAGCCAGCTGGTACAACCAGAGAGCAAATCATCTATGCTAAGAAGCTTTACGAGTCGGCCTTTCATCCCGACACCGGTGACCTGCAGAATGTCTTTGGCAGAATGTCCTTTCAAGTGCCAGGAGGAATGGCCATAACTGGTGCCATGCTTCAATTCTACAAGTATATTTTTTTTGTGCCACTTGTGACAACGTAGACACTGATATTTGTCGCGACTTATTTATTTATTTTTTAATTGTTGTATAATTTGTTGTAGAACAACCACAGCCGTGGTTTTTTGGCAATGGGTGAACCAGTCGTTCAACGCGTTGGTCAACTACACGAATAGAAACGCTAACAGCCCTACGACAGAGCTACAGTTGGGGGTGGCTTACGCGAGCGCGACAACAGCAGCAATGATAACGGCGATAGGATGCAAATCGTTCTGGGCTAAACGAGCCAATCCACTTATGGCGGTGGGGTAGAATTATACACGGTGTTCGGCCAACCCTGGGAAAAATTTTAATTGGAGATTCTAGAGGCCAAAATAAGACGAAAACCAAGAATTAAGGCGTCGTTAAAAATTTATTAAAAAATTAAATTAAAGAATTTCAAATCATTCCAAAAAAATTATTTTCAGTTGAGGGGGTCGATTACAATTAGTTTTGGTGATTAGACACACCCTCGAGATCCTACGCAGTTTCGAGAAAAAAATTCGAGTAGGTGGATAAATTTTCGACAAAATTGAAAAGTCTCAAATCGTTCTAAAAAAATTCTTTTCAGTTGCGGGGGTCAATTTCAATCATTTTTGGTGATTAGACATAATCCCGAAATCCTATCCACTTTCGAGAAAAAAATTCAGTAAGTAGACAAATTTTTCGGCGAAAACAAAAAATTTCAAATCGTCCTGAAAAAATTATTTTCAGTTGGGGGAGTCGATTTCAATCATTTTTGGTGAATAGGCATACCCCCAAAATCCTACGCACTTTCGAGAAAAAAATTCGAGAATGTGTGAAATTTTCCGACAAAATTGAAAAGTTTCAAATCGTTCTAAAAAAATTATTTTTAGTTGCGGGGGTCAATTTCAATAATTTTTGGTGATTAGACATATTGCCGAAATCCTACGCATTTTCGAGAAAAAAATTCAGTATGTGGACAAATTTTTCGGCTAAAAAAAAAATTTCAAATCGACTTGAAAAAATTATTTTCAGTTGAGGGGGTCAATTACAATCATTTTTGGTGATTAGACATACTCTCGAAATCCTATCCACTTTCGAGAAAAAAATTCGGGAATATGTGAAATTTTCCGACAAAATTGAAAAGTTTCAAATCGTTCTAAAAAAATTATTATCAGTTGCGGGGGTCAATTACAATCATTTTTGGTAATTAGACATACTCTCGAAATCCTATCCATTTTCGAGAAAAAAATTCGAGAAGGTGTGGAATTTTCCGCCAAAATTAAAAAATTTCAAATCGTCCTGAAAAAATTATTTTCAGTTGAGGGGGTCGATTACAATCATTTTTGGTGAATAAACATACCCCCGAAATCCTACGCAGTTTCGAGAAAAAAATTCGATAGGTGAACAAATTTTTTGGAGAAAAAAAAAATTCCAGATCGTCCCGAAAAAATTATTTTCAGTTGAGGGGGTCGATTACAATCATTTTTGGTGAATAGACATACCCCCAAATTCCTACGTATTTTCGAGAAAAAAATTCAGTAAGGCTGAAACTTTAAACGTTAATAACTTTTCAACGAAATCTCCATAAACAAATTTGTATTCTTGATTTTCGTCTTATTTTGGCCTCTAAAATCTCCTATTAAAATTTTTTCGAAGGGTGAAAACAAGCGATAAGGGTGTAATAATGTATGGAAAAAAAACCATATAAAATACAAAATTGCATTATTATGAAAACTGTCAACAGTATATTTTCCATCTTGCGACGATAATGCTTTTTCGTGTTTTTTGTACATTTTTTTCGAGTATTATTACACGCTACAAAGTAACTGAAGAAATTGTAAAACAAAGAAATTTAATGGATCTGTTATTTTGTTTGTAGCGTTACGTGCCGTTCGCAGCGGTCGCCGCGGCCAACTGCGTGAACATTCCGTTGATGAGACAGAACGAAATAAGCCAGGGGATCGAGATCAGCGACGAGAACGGCAACAAACTTACAAAATCAAAGGTAGATTGCGTTCGGTGCACGCGACGTGAAACGTATCGAATGATCCAGCTGTGAATGCGTTCCTTTCAGATCGCGGCGGTCAAAGGTATCAGTCAAGTGGTAGTCTCGAGGATTATTATGTGCGCGCCGGGCATGCGTAAGTGGATACCACGGTCGAGACAAAAGAAAGAAAGTCGAGCGTAATTTACGTTGGCTGTAATGAAATTCAAATTTTGTTCCACAGTGATTCTGCCGCCTATAATGGAAAGATTGGAACGCTACCCGTGGATGCAGAAAATCAAACCGTTGCACGGACCGATACAGATCACGATGGTCGGCTGTTTGTGAGTACTTCTTCTTAACACATTTATTAACCACCTTGCATTTGGCACCGATTCGTGGACACGCGTGACTAAACCGTACACAGTGCAACGTAAATCAATTTACAACTCGACAATGGGATTTTGAAAATTCTTTCTGTACACGTTTTACACGAAAGTTTACAATAAGATGAAGATTATTAATAATTAACATTTCAGTCTGACGTTCATGGTGCCCACAGCGTGTGCGTTGTTCCCACAAAATTGGTAAGCGTGCACAACACATATTTCTGAATTTATCATTCATTCAAAACAAATATCTTTTAATATTTAATATCACGCTACATTTATTATTGCTAAAGTTGAATCGGGCGTAAAATTCACTAACCTCTGCACGCAACGAACGGTATCTCACGGTACAAAATATTTATTAGAATATTAAAAAGTACATACAAACAGGCTTAATTAATTCAGATTATTTGACAAACAAAAAAAAAAATAAAACATTTTTACTTTCCACTTGCGCTTACAAAGCTGCGATTAAAAATTGAATATTCAATCCGTCGGGAGGATCGATGCATTAATAAATATTTCATTTCGTTTGTATATTTTGCATATGTTTCACAGCTCGATCGCTTCGTGCACTCTGAAACGCTGGGAGCCCGAAAGTTATGAACTTTTAAAGGAGAATTGTGCATCGAGGTCCATACCTGCGCATCTGTACTTCAACAAAGGTTTATAATGTATCAAAAAAAAGTTTAGTCGTCGTAAAAGAACATTCGATGGTGCGCCCTCTATGAAGATCGTAGCTATCAATCATGGAATCGAACAAACATTCGCGTACGATACGAATTTCGAGTACTTGTAGTTTTCTGCTGGTTCAGAGGATGAAATACGTTCTGCGGTGAACACACACGATACCGAACGAATACGACAATACCGTGCATTTCGAATTAATTTCTATTTCTACATAGGGCGACCGTACTTTATTTTTTAAGTCCCGTTACACGCGCTACAACACGCCAACCTCGACCACCTAAGATCGTCTCCTACGATAGTGATTTAACAACACCGACAATATGTACTGTTAGTCGCGAAACGTAACCTCCTTGCTAAACGCGAGTGATTTCCGAAAAGCAATAATTTATTTCGACCGAACGCTCAATCGTCTTGCTTCAAATTAAACAAAACATATCGTTTAAGTAGTTAAGCCGTGATACAGCAAACATTTCACATTATATTGTTAACCGCTAGGAATGCGTTACGAGTCGCTAAACGACTGTCGATGTTCTACTATTGCTACCTCCCTGAACTGTTAAACGAAACTAAAAATGCTGCCATGTATATTTTAGTAACATTACAATAAACCTTGGGAAATAAGTATGCGCGAGTAATTTCGTTCGAATTCCAGTCAATGACACTTTTAACGATACAACTACCAGCGACATCTATCTACATCTACCAGAGAAGTCAGAATGACTTGTTTTCGAAAAGAAGTATTATAACGCAAAATTTAAAATTGATCCAAACATATTTCTTTGAATGCAAAAGTCATAAAGTAAATGGATAATCATTGTGACGAGTGGCGAAACAAGCCATTTTGTTCCCTTTGGTAGATCCAGTGTTAACGTTCTAACGCACACGAAAAAATAATTATAACCTAGTAACACGAACAAACTATATATTGGGCCGTGAATGCGACGGTTGATTCTGTTGCGGTGTGTAACCAATGCGTTCTTGGATTTCACTTTGCGGCACTTTACCACCCCACGAGGGAGGATTGAACGTTGGCTGTCTTTCAGATTTCTTGGCTTCGAGAGCTTTCCTCATTGTCTCGTATTCTTGTAGATCGTCTAGCCGTAAATCGATTCTCGTCGGACTGCGTCGTATCATTTTACTGAGAAAAGTTGAAGACACCTTTCTTTTAGTACGGAAACCTCACGCCGGACGCAATCTTTACATAACCTTGTGCCACGTGGCTATATGGAAAGGAACCATACCGCAACAAAATTCATGCAATTTAGAACACTACCGTCTACGTTTTTTTGTTTCTCGAAATAATTTCGTTAATATTCATCGTTTTATGAAACGTTTTAATTTCGATAGATTTAAGAACACATTATCACTACCCTGTTACTACAAATTTGACTTCATACTGCGACGTGGTAATCTTTATTAAAAAAAGTACGAACAACGTATCTCTTTTTTATTTAACGAATCGTATAAATATAAGAGTAATTACACGAGCTATAGAATACATTTATTTTGGTATTTTGAAAATATTTGAAAATCTTAAGCAACATACGCGCTTCGATTCGTTGCAACAAAGTAGCACGTGCATATAAAGTTGATGATTAACATTCTAGAATTTGTACAGCAGAATATATGAAATTATTAAATTGATAAAACAGAAAGAACGTGCGACGTTTTAAATTAATGGATCAAGTTCGGATAGAAGATCGTAAGTATGTAAATCGTTCTTGGAATATCTTGCACGGGGCACCAAGTTTCTATAAAGACACTCATGAACCTTAGGTTAAGATGGCGGATTACGTCGAATAGATAACTGGCCCGTAATAATTCCGAAATAAATAGCATTACGAAAATGTATTAATTACCGAGCCACTTATTTTCGTGCAAATGACATACTTTGTACGATATTTCGCACGAATTATTCCTAGATTCGCACCATTTACAGAACTAGCGTGAAAATGTGGGTACAACAAGGGATTTGGCCGCCGTAAACACGCTTCCGATCGAGTGCTACAATTTTCGTTAATTTTGTCACGGCGGCAAGCACTCCCCTTTAGTAAATTGTAAATAATTGTAAATTAAGCACCAGGCAACGAAGTGCCAGCACGAAAGGATGCTTTACTTGGAAGATTATGTCGAAAGTACGTAAAAACGAGACATGCTTTGCTTACCCAGCTTCTCAAGAAAGTTACTAACCTTTCCGAATATACTCCCTCGTGAAAGTACCAAAAACTTTTCCCAAAGCGTATATCTTTGTAGTTATTGCGTTGTCGTACACAATTACCTGAACGCTGCTTTTTATTTTACTCTAAGATTCGATACAATGTCGCACGAGTGCTTTCTTGTTGCGCCATTCTGTGTAAATTTTAGGTTAGTTATATGTTTTCGAAACGGTGTATATCTGTCTCTGATCTTACTCATATATTTTGATGTTAAACTATTCTTATAAGACACCTAATGAACGGTACACGAACATTTTGACAACTGTATTAATTGGACGAATGTAAATTATTCTTAGATGATTCGTCCCTTTTGCTACAATCTTATTTGGTTATGTTGACCTTCTTTTATGGTTTCAGTGATCGAGCATCTACCACAAGAGTTAAGAGACCGATTCACAGAAATGAGAGAAATGGACTTAGGTGTACAAAGTATGTTCTGTCACGTGCTATATGAAACTTCAGTTTCAAGCATTCGTTATTTTTTTTTTATCCGATTTGTCGATTGCTCCAACAAACGAATCAATTTCAGATTCAATGGACAGTTTAGAAAAAAAAGTAAAGACCTTCTTTTCGAACGCGAAGAAAATGAAACCTAGCGAAAAGGAAGCAGAATACGAAGCCATTAGAAGAGAGTATTACAAGACTTTAGAGGATGCGGACGAAAAGGTGCACTTAGCTAATCAGATGTACGACTTAGTAGATAGATATTTGAGGAGATTAGATCAGGAACTGCACAAATTTAAAATGGAACTAGAGGCAGATAATAAAGGTATCACGGAAATATTGGAGAAAAGGTCACTGGAATTAGATCAACCGCCGACGAATAGTAGTCAAAAAGAGAATCGGTATAGTTTTACAACATCCAGTAGGTCACGAGACAATCACAGTCATTGTAAGTATATTATTTTATTGTTATTCTAAACTACGGTATTATCGATACTGCGGATACGTTATAAAATGTGTCAAATATTTTCCAGCTCGGGCAGAAAAAAGAAGAGATTCAAACGCATCCTCTACTTCGATAGAAAAACGGTTAGCTATAGAAAAAATTTCACCGAGTCTTCCTGAATCGCGACCAGCTTCTGCAAATTCAGGACCAATTATTGCCGCTACAAGCGTGCCATCAACCCCTAATGCCATTGCAAACTCTGTTGGCTCCGTAAGTTATAACCTTGGTCACATAGGAGCTGGTGGAAACGCCATAGCAGCTGCAGCATCCCAGGCGATTGCCGCAACGCAACAAATGCAACAAGGCAGACGTACCGCCAGCTTGAAAGCCAGTTACGAGGCGATCAACACTGGCGGTGTACACGCGGCTGAATTTAGTAGAGAATTAGCTGGTGCTGCTCAAACGGCTATTGCAGCTATACAAGAGACAACTAAAAAGCATAAAAAGTACGGGTCACTCGTCAACAGGCGGTGTTACTTCCCGTCAAACTATCGTTCTTCGCTTTCTTTTACATCGGTATCATTACGCATTTTAGAAAAGTAACGACCGCTGTCCCAAGTTCGAGCGTAGTTGCTGCTTCTGTTCAGCAACCAGTATCACCCCCAGTCATAACTACGAATACACAAGTTGTGGATACGGATAATCCAGATTGGACATACGATCCAAACGAGCCAAGATATTGTATATGTAATCAAGTATCGTACGGAGATATGGTCGCGTGTGACAATTCAGATGTAAGTTAAACTTATGCTTACTCGATTCATTTATAATCGATTAATTTTATCGTTACTCTTTGCAGTGTCCATTTGAATGGTTTCATTATCCATGTGTGGGTATCACTGCGCCGCCAAAAGGCAAGTGGTACTGTCCTCAATGTACATCTTCTATGAAGAGACGCGGAGGACGGAAAAACTGATTCTACTATAATCAGTGCAAATACAATGAAAAAAAATTGCTACTACCTCTTAGGCACTGTCCGTCAAGTACCAACTTAGTTAGGAAGCTGTTAATTCTGATTTTATATGACTTTTTAAATGTGTTTAAAGTTTAAGTCGTAATTTTATCTGGTCTTGGTCTTGTCTCATGAAATTTAAATTTTCTGTTTTTCTAAAGCAGAAGAATGCAGTTTTTTTTACTGCGTTTTGTAGATAAAAAAAAAAAAAATACAACAAAAGGTGAGATGGTGCAAAAAGTGAGCTTTGAACAAATTTCGTTTTAAGAAGTTCTGCGTACAAGTAACTGCAAATATTTTTATATTTTTTGCACCATTCTGTACTACGACCACATTAGATAGTTTCTACGAATTTACATTGAAAGGTAATCATCTTTCCCTCTGGATACGATACAATCGATTGACTGATACCCAGAGGCAATTCCCCACGGTGAATTTTCGAAATTTACGTTTCTAGTTTACATGACGTCAGACAACTTTCGAACAATCTTCGTGTATTTACGTACTCCTGTTAGTTCAGACGTGCTTAGTGTCTCGCTGACGACTGTGCGAGCAGTAATGTTTCAAGTGTTCCACGCTTTCAGGAAAGAAAAAGTAAAGACAAAAAAAAAAAGCTGATACAAACGAATCGAGAAAATACTACTTTCGAAACGGAGTAATGTAGCTACTTGGTGTATAAATAAAATGATCGATGCAGATTTATCATTTGTGTTATTATAATTCGTAAACAGTTTCCTAGATTCGTTATAGTCCTATATCCCATTCCTATATATTATATTTACGAGACAGAGCTTTTTTGCGATCTAATAATTTATAGTATACTATGTATGTAACCATAGACGATGTATAGAACAAGGCTTGCAATCAATGCTTTTTTTTCGTATCACGTTTACCGTTTTCTTGTCGCTGCCAACATTATCGATTCAAACTAGAATACGATTGTTGCACTCTTGGTGTTTGGAATTTAGACTAAATAATTAGTAACCACTAATTACATATTTCTGAAGCAACCAAAATCGAATCACATGGAACGGATCCAAACATACAGGTTATTTTTCCTGTATATGAAAGTCAGTTGTCCGAACTAATAATTGGTCAGAAAGGGTTACTAGTACTCACTAGTGGTCGTCAAAGAGTCAGGAGTACAGGGAGGATCCAGGAATGACCGGGGGTTAGGATCAAAGTCGGGACATCCGACACCTTCGGAGTCTCCAGGGAGAATGACAGTTTCCAGCTGCTGCGGTTCTACTTATACCTTAACGTATAACGACGGGAAGGTGGGAAGGAGCCTCGTCAACGAGTCCGACAGTCAATCTCGCTATCTGTTCGATCTACAAACAAAATTATTTCACGAAAAATTAATATTTCCACAAAATAATATTCAACGTCATCATTATACACGTATTATTAAAAATTTTGTCAAATATTCTCCGATGTAAATGAATAAAATTATCATTGAATTTGACATTTGATTTTTTTAAACTCTGGTGTGAAAAGCTAACAAAAAGGGAAAAACCGACGTGATTATGGCATATGTCATCGTATGATTCATAACGTAACTACCGCGAGCCGATGATTATTGACCTTCTTCGTTTGAAAACCGTGGAACGTTTCTAACCTTGCCGTCGTGTTCCACTTGGTTTATTTTACTATAAAAATCCCGTGATGTTGCGCCACGCGCTATGTACATAAATAAAGATATAATTACGATCTGAAGTAATTTCCGTCGAATTACCCAGGCGATACATTTTACACCCGTTTTGATGTCACCAAGCGTTATTGCTCTTTTATCTGTGAAAGGACGTACATTATTTTCGTTCCGAAAGAATGTACGAGTTAATTCTTCTAAACGATGCCACGAACGCAACATGGGGCATCCGCCTATCCTCATTCTATATAAATCAACGTAGAACCGTCATCTAAGAATTGTCATCTTTCGACTTCTACACCGACTAGTTGACAAGTTTAAATCCTACTTCTACGCTGACCAGTTTACGAGCTAAAATTTTTCAAATCCCAACTAACTACTCTGTTCAATCATGTCCTGTATGCTACTCCCGTTGTTCGTCGTGAGTATGTTGCAGAATCAGGCTTCTGCACAGAATGAGATTCTTGTAACTTTCGATGGCACCCCGGCCACTGCATCGTCAAGTACGTGAACTCGATTAAATTCGTCAATTTCGATAGCAAGCTAGCGTTTACGTACGCTAATTTTTTCCTATTAAAAATTATATTTGTATTTCACGATCCAGGTAGCAACAACGGCATGTGCACCTGCGTACCAGAGGGTACCTGTTCGTCCGCAACAACTAACATCGATATTCGAATCGTTAACACGGTATGTAAATTTTTATTTATAGATTAACAACCGATGTGAATTTAAATTTTTGTCGAGCTCACCGATTTCAACGACAGCGACGTGTGTCGAAGGGGGACGTCTGTGAGTGTTCTGAAACAAAAAATAATTCCCCTTTGCTTAGAAATAAATTTCTTTGAATTAGAAATAAATTACTGAATTTCACGTCCAGGGATACATTCGACATTTATTATTTAATATTATTTAATATTTCTGGTTCAATGGTGTTCCCTAAAAAATAATATTCATGATTCCTGTAACTGTAACAAATAATGAGAGGTGAAACTTTGGAGGTTAGTTTCACCCCTTAAGCTTTCATCAGCATAACTGAAAGAATATACCTGAACATTTTTACTACCCTACGAGCCGCCATTTTCATTAAAATGGAGGGGCAAGGTCCTCGATAAAACGTCCTTCATGGACGTTTGTTGTCCGTGACCATACCCCCTCCAATAGATTACAAGGCTATTGAAATAGGTGAGGTCAGCGCTATTACGATAATAATAATGATCCATAAAACTAGTTAGCAACAACAATGTAATGCATCAACGAACCATTTGTCCGACAAGCTTGGGGCCGGAAGTGACGCAGATTTCTGGCCCAAGGTCGAATTTTCTGAGAGATCTATTTTTAATTTTTTAAGGGCTCGAATTGCTCCGCTGGGCAAGTGTACTGTTGCTCGCCTACTTCGGGACATTTGCTCGATACTACCTGCGGTATACGAAAAATAACATCGTCTTCGCACACCGAGGGCCAGGCCAATTATGGAGCATACCCTTGGCAAGCTGTGCTTTTGACAACGAGCAACGGTTACGCAGGCTCCGGTGTGCTGATTACTCCGAATCATATACTCACTGCTGCCCACAAAGTAGCATCTTACACGTAAGTATATTACACTGGTCAACAAATGGAAATTACCTGGATTTTTATGACTTTGTTAATCTATTACCATTTGCCGTTGACCAGTGTTATATTCACATTGTATTCGACGATTACAAGACAATTCGATATTTCGATCGAAAAAGAAAAACAATAGGTCGATTGTTCAAGGTTTTAAACTTTACTGAAACGTTACAGAAATGGCGGGATTAAAGTAAGATTAGGAGAACGGAACGATCAGTCTACCAGTGAACTTTATCCAGTCAGAGAATATACGGTTCGAAAAGTGGCTGTACATCCGAACTTCAACTCTGTTAATCTTCAAAATGACGTGGCCGTATTAACGTTGAGCGGTACTGTTCCTATTTCAAGCAGTCCCAATATTAACACCGCATGTTTTCCATCTGCAGTGCCTCCAGCTAATACAAGGTTATACTTTACATAATTGATACATTTAAAATTGATACATCGATAACTACAAAGAACGATCGCGATTAAAATAAAATAGTCATTATCTTTGGTTATAGTAGAAAGTTGGTTCCGCACTGATCAACTCGTTTCGATAATCGATTCGTCGAATGGACGATCTAGAAAAATCAAAGTTACTAAACATTGAATATATAATATATTTTTTTAAAGATGTTGGGTGTCGGGCTGGGGAAAGGATGCGTTTGGCGCGAATGGAAAATATCAAAGTACAATGAAAGAAGTCGATGTGCCCATTGTAGACGATGCAACTTGCGAAGCTGCCCTTCGAAGAACTAGACTTGGGCAATCTTTCAGCCTCAGTAAAGGCAGTTTCTTGTGTGCAGGTGGCGAACCTGGTAAAGATGCATGCACGGTGAGTAATTAGAATTACCTACTCTGTTGGTATCAATTACGATTATTGTAATCTCAATGTACGACCGATCTTTTCAGGGTGATGGCGGTTCGCCATTGGTCTGCCAATCTGGAAACGGCCAATGGCAGGTTGTCGGGTTGGTAGCATGGGGTATTGGTTGTGCTACTCAAAATGTTCCTGGTGTATATGTGAACGTATACAATTATATTTCATGGATTATGCAACAACTTAATTAAAACATACGATTGTATAAATTAAATACTGAAGATGATAATATAGAACGGTCAATTTATACAAAATACTATCGAAATGTATTCCATGTACTTAGATGTTCGGATTAACCGAAAAATGTAAATTGGTTACTATTTATTAAAATGTACAAGTTGTTATTAAATATATTTAAAGATGATAAGTTTATATCATTGACGTTGTTCCTAATTTCATTCCAAACTTAGGTTAGGTCATAAGTTATAACATTTGAACTATATCTATAAAATAGTATTATCCATTAAATAACACCAAATATATTCAACGTTACGTAAAAAGTTTTACATACGTACGTCGTTTACGGCGAATGCTAAAAAAGTTAAAAAAAAAACTTTTAAACAAAAACTGTTTCACCGATTCGTTGGTTAACAGTAGAAATGGACGTGAATTGCATGTTCCTGTTTAAAGTGTGAAAATTTGAATAAAATGGTCTTATTCATGGAAACCAGATTAAATAAATAACTAAACGCATGAAATACGAATAGAGGGCGTATCGCGTTTGACGTTTGTGAAACTGAGATAGCACTGGAAAGCACCGATTGTTTACAATTTTGAGAGATTTGTAAATCTCGACGGGCACGTAACTTGCGATGAACGCTGACATGGAAAGTGACGGCGAGTTTAGCGAATCTAGCGATAATCAAGTTATAGGTACATGATTTTCCTCGATTTATGTATCAACGTATATGGATTACAGTAGAGAATTAAAGGTTATACACGGAATTCCACGCATATTGTTACAAAATACGCAAATCCGAGGTTGTCAATCGATTCTAGAGTACGAATTCTACTTTAAACGTTTCTGTACCTTATTACACGCGTTCACATTTCGTAAGAAATTGATATCGTTATATGTTCGTATTATGTTAATAAATTATCCATGTTGTCATATATATATATATTTTGCAAGGGGGAAGAAATATGAAATTTTGAACACCTATTTTTCAGAATACAGAGATAGAGAAGAGGTAAATGACGCAGAAGATGAGAACATGGAAGAAGACGAACCCGAAGAAATGGTGGTATCTAATGAATGTATTTTTGACTTAACGTTACCGGCAATGCATTCTGTAAGTACTCGTTGCAAACTGTCCGCACAAATTTTACATCCCAGGATAGACCTTGCAAATTCATTAAGTTCAAGCTATTTCGCTTTCTAAATGTTATATTATTGCAGTAAAATATACCCGTAAATAGTACAAATTCACTACTTTTTCAATGAATTGATTTTTTAATATATTAATGTATTACCAGTATTTAGGACAAAATTTGGAAGAGCTTAGAGGGAGGACGCTGTTAGACGACGGAATTTATATGAATCTACCGTTGTTAAAGAAACAGTCGGTTATATTATTTCCTGGACAAACGTTACCTATGATAGGATACAATCCACTGATCAAGGAAATGTTAATGACGTGCATCCGTAATAATCGTACACTAGGCGTCGTTTGTTTAGGGAATGATAAAATAGTGTCGGTAGGCACCACCGCCGAGATTTACGCGTGCACGTTCGAAGATCGTGTACACGGTTTTCGTTTCAAAGCGATAGGTAGACAACGGTTCAAGATTTTGCAAGTTATAATACAGGTCTGTTTCAAATGTTGTGCACGCATTGCTGTTTAACTTCGTGAAAAGAAATCGTACAGTAATACTCCCGGGATTGTTTTAAAGGCTGAATTGAACTGAACAAGCAATTAAGAAAACAAAGAAAGTGAAAGGACTCTGAGATTAAAGTCTATACTTAACGATTACTGTAAAACTTGATGTAACATTTTTTTAAAGGCTTTTTCCCAGGAAAATTAATGGATGACTTATTTTCTCGGAGTTACAATAATCCAAAGATTAACGATGTATATTTTATACATCTATATTCTATCAGCCAGTCATTATCTCCTTCGCGTAAATGTTATATTTTATTATTAGATCGTATCTTGTATATATACTTATGTTTATGAACGTGTACATATATGCAGGGTTATAAAGTATCAGCCAATGTTAAAGTTTTACCAGAGATAACGCTTGGACCTCCGTTTGGGGATGAACGTTTGTCCTCGTTAGATAATTTACGAATACATCCGACCACCGAGGAAGATTTTAAAAAACAGGAAAGGGTAGAGAATCTAGATGCTATTGTAACTCCTTGGCCTGCTTGGGTGTACAGGCAATATGATCCTTTGAGACTTTCTTTAAAAATACGACAACACCTGCAATTTATTGAAAATAGTAAGCATACCGAAGTATTAGACAATTTGGTGACAATGGAAAAAATTACGTACATCGTATTAATATCACGTATAATAACGCATACGCATAGAGAGAAAAAATTCGTGTTCGAAACAAATAAAATCTTACCTAGATAGAACGTTATCTCGATAAAAAAAAGTAATCGATTCTGTTTGTCGCGAGTCACATCGTAAATCTAAAACTTGGAACAATTTCAGGGGGAAGTAGCATACCGAAAGATCCTACAGATTTGTCATTCTGGGTAGCCCAAAATTTGTTCCTGGATGAGTACGAAAGAATTGTATTATTAAATTACGATTGCGCGATTTCGAGGCTGCAGAAGGAAATTAAATATCTGGAAGATGTATGTAGAAGGGAACATGGGGGAGTACCGTAAAAATACTTTCACTTCTACTTGTAATTGAAACCACCGTTCTGCATTTATAGGACAAAATATTTGTTTGCTGCGAATGCAATTCTTATATCGGAAAGCAGTCACACATGTTCCCAATGAGCAAAGAAGGCCCACAGGGTACTTATTGCAATCGAGCTGGTATTATACACGACACTGTGACTTTGTATCACGCGCAGGGCCTGCAATTAAATCACGGTGCACCTTCGACAGAATATACGTGGTTCCCAGGGTAAAAGTTGCTCCTTTATTCGCAAATCGTATTCTTATTTTTAAGTCGTACGTGTTACGAACTAATTTATTTTATCATAGATACGCTTGGACAATAGCCACGTGTAAATGTTGCGGTACCCATATGGGATGGAAATTTACAGCAGTGGAAAGCCACTTGAAACCAAAGTCATTTTGGGGCTTGACTCGTGGAAGTTTAAAAAGCAAAAAGAAGTGAACGAACGAAATGTTCAAACATACATTATACGGAACCGCGAGTTAAATTTTACGCCATCGTTGTTGCTAATTAGTTCAATAAACCCACGTGTATATTCCCGGAATAGTTTCTTAGCGTTCTGTCGCTAAATACAATCATTTGGTTGCCCAGTTTCTTCGAGCTTTCAGTAAAAGTAAAATCTGTTTCTTCGACAATGAAGATGTGTATGAAACATAACAATAAGTATTTATTGGGGGACTTCCAAACGACTGAAGTACGGTAAACAAATTTCATAAGATTTAATGTTGGTGGTCTGTATAAAAGAGCAATGACTTTTAAACGTCCTGATTTTTCATCTATGGGAACTATATACATAGAAGTATAAATTGGACAAATTAGAATACATTAAAAGAATGTAAATCGTTATTTTTTCAAAGCGGTTTATTCTGCTTCCAATATTTCTATGAATGTCTGGATAATATGTAATTCCTAAATTTGTATGGAACTAGTCATCGTGGACATTCGCATTCATCTTAAATATTGGTAACACATGAACTTATCATCGTATCTTGTGTGAGAAATTGATAATAAATCTGTAAAAGTTTTGTACAATGTGATATTCTTTTTTTACTTAGTACAATGGAATGTAGAAAATCATAACGGGTCGTCGATGTATGATATTTAATTGTTTCATCTAGACTAGTACACGGAAAATACAGGCATATTGTTGAGTAAGTTTAAAACCATGTTGTCTGCCATCATCGTACCCAACTTCAACAATTACATACAAGTTATGAATGAAGATATATAACGTACATTACTGAAATAATATTTTGTTATTTGTACAATAGAATTTAATAAATGTGAATTTAACCTGGAACGAACATCCTCACTGAATCTTTATTAACAAAACTATTATTTATGAAAGTGGTATAAGTTAACTAATTTAACCAATATCTTTGCGAATAAAGTTACAAGTAAAAAGTTAATTCACGACTGTTTGTTATTCGTGAATAAAATTCATTCTAGGTTGATAGTATATAGGTTTCTAATGATATGTATGAAATATTAGACCTAATTGATAGTTTTAAAGATGTAAAGAATTAATGTTACGTACCTCTTGATGTGCTAGAAGAATACACATTACGAGAATTCCGACGCCGACTTATAAGTTCTGGAATCGATCCTCGTTAAATAAAGTTTTGGTTTTTTACAATTTTATTATAGTAATATTGTCTGGATATTGTTCTTAAGAGAAGACCTTGTTTACTTACAATAGTCTCGTAGTAAAGATCACTCGAATACTCTTCCTCCGTGACATGGAAAGCGTTGATAGGGCTGACAATTTTAGGTTATGTCCCTTGGCACGGAACGGTCCGATCAGCCTCGCTTCTGATCTTCGAATGATGATGTAATAGTCGTGATACGATGTTAGCTGTAGGAATATCGTCTGGGTCTAGTTCCTGGCTGAATTGCTGAAATAATACAAACTCAGACCAAAAGGAATAGACTCGCGAAGAAACGTTCTTACACGCAATAACACTTGGAGTCAAAATGGTGTCATTCAAGTGTCCATCCATGTTGATATGGAGAATGTTCAGAGGGCTAGTAATTCTGAGTCTAAACCTGTTGAGATAGAGTGTCCAAAGGACAAATTACATGTTTATGATCCCTGAATCATGTTGATACAGGCCAAGAGTCTAAGATGTCATTAATTGTAGGAATATCCTACAAGATGCAGAATGATAATTGTCATACATATACAGAAAACTGATAGTGTGTCTCTTTCCCGACAATTATCGAAAAAAATAAGTATGTACAATAATTATCCTCCTGCATCTTCCACAATGCCCCCACAATATAATCGTAAAAAGAATTAGGTAACTTTATTTAACGAAAATCTATCTCTAACTGCTATTTAGAAGCTATAAAATCATTTCACTTCGCCACCTTATGCCTTTATAAGGGCATACAACCAGCATTTATCAATATTTTTCAATCGAGTGTAATACAAAACCTTTTGTATCCTGAAACAAAGGTCTTACATCACTTCCACAACGAACGGGGGCAAATATTTTTTACGAATAATAATAAAACGTGCGTGATAATGTTTCACGATTATATTAATTGTAAATTATTATTGCAAAATCGGTGCGTGCAAGGGTGCATTTGAAAAGGAACGGAGAAGTTTAAAACGAGGGAAGTGAAAGGATTTTATCAATTAAAATACGTGTTATCGTTCATTTCTTGCGCATGTCGTATATTTCTCGATTACCTTAACTCAATTAAATTTATTATAATTATATCTTTATTATCTCAATCATTCTCTCGCATATGTATCGTGTGTTCTTAGTCGCGTTTAAATAGCAGACATGTTTAACAATCTGCCACAAGAGTTTAATAATTCGACGTTAACGCTTCGTATTATAGTACTATCATTCAGACGTGTTTTCGTTACATATATATATATTTATATATCGTACTCATTTTGTATGCACTCGAGATTCGGTTACGCTGACTGTTTTTCTGTTAATCGTCTCGACAGTTGCTCGTCGTTTTCCGAGTCGCGTGCGCCCGAACGCTATTGCCAAATGCTTGGTGATTTTTTTCGTTCCTATACCAATCAAATTTAGATTTCTTTGCTACGGCTGTTAACTGCCCCCTAATAGTATAAATGCGACGAAGTATCTGCTATAAATTATATATCTGTCTGGCATAAGCTTTAACGTGTAATACATGATCATTGTCGAAACCAGTGTACTATACTTGAAAATTCTCCTATATATATTTCGTTTCTTCGAAGCACCGCTTTTGGATGCTTTTTTCCACTCTACGAGTGTTCCGCTTTAGAATCAAAGCGAATACGAGAAGCTGCTAAATACTCGTCAGACACACTGCAACGTTGACAATTGCGCGACAAAATTTGCTCCGAATTCAGCACGACCTAGGTCCGCACGAAATCAAAAGAACATTTACCGAATGTGAATTTGAAACGAAAGAAATGTATATCTTTCGATCGCAATTTCAAATCCGGAATCCCAGAAAAAAAAATAAAAGCCCATTTGGTTCTTATTTTTTTACATTTTAGTTTCTTTTATTAGCATGTGTCTATCTGCGCATTTTCACAATAATAATACATATTTATAATACATATATAACAGAAATCCTTTGCCCAGAAACAGACAAACAGATAATATTCTGTTAAAAAATTTGTTCTAATGTTGCCAGTATATAAGCACTTTATAGTATAAATGTAATACGCCATTATATTTTAAATAAAAAGGTGTGTTAAGTGTTGATCATTTTTTTTTGTATAACACAATCTATTTCAGATTTTAGAAACGGAACTTTATCGTTAGTACGAAGAAAATTATTCCTGAACGTCTATTCTGTCCATTTTTCACTCGTGACACATGTTCTTCTGAAAATGTTATTTACACAGAAAAGCATGTTTCGTTTTTTCGCTTGAATACGTTTAGTTTGAGTTTGAATAATATATATACACACAAATTTTTTTTTTTCTTTTATCGTAATTACCATTGTAAGTAAGTATCTTGTTTACGTGTTAATTGTTAAATCATGATCATTGCCTTTAATTTGGTGCACCGCGTCTCTCGGGCCCAAGTAAACTGAATTACAATAACACTGCCAGACTTCTAGACAAGTTTGAATTTTCTATAGATTAAATATGAGAATATTATCGAGAACGTATATAGGAGTATATTCGTCGCATATATTCAAAAGTATCCATCGTAAAATTATATTTCCAGCGTCTTTAAATACTTGTTTAACGATAAATACTCATCCAGTGAGGAACAGATAAAGTATCGGAATTAAAATCAATTGAAATATATAGACACGGGTCGGGAAAACGTACGTAACAGACTGTCAGGTTTATTGTTATCATTGCTGACTCTCATCTCGTCTCGTATGGATGTTTTATCATACACTTGTACAGTTCGCGTACTCATATTTATTTATAGATCTGCAATTCAGACGTTTGACATGTTTTATTACGCGTCCAGGGGAACGGAAGCACTTAATCACTGTATGAGGGACTTACTTTCAATTTCCGATCCTGCAGAGATAAGTTTGGTGTGCGGCTGTGCAGTTGTGCTTGGCTGTTGATTACTCAATTGGCCCGTAGTCGCTGGTGCAGCAAAACCAGGGGGTGGTTGCATTGCCCAATGTTGAGTTGGTGCGTTCTGTTGTTCCTAAAGTGAAGACAAACAACGAAAATATAGCTTTCGCGAAATAAAAATTATTTATACGAAGAGGCAATATATGTATCTACCGTGTATAACCCTTTTATAATTATCAATATCTTTTCGATCATTACCAATCCAAAATAAGTTTTTGTACTATTGATAATAATAAATGAAGCGTTTAGGAAGATGTACCTAGTACTAAAAAATGTATAAAAATATTATAAACGAACATACATACCTGTTGCGCATTATGTGATACAGTATGTGTTGGATGAACATGTGGAAACTGCCATGTACTAGTAGTTTGGAATGGAAGAGGCCTAGAAGAACTAACGATGGCTGGATCAATCGAAGTCCAGTCCGCGATAGGTCCAAAATTGTTCCATCCTCCTTTTTGATGTAATGCTTGATGATGAAATTGTTGTTGTTGTTGCTGATTATTGATATCACACCAATCCTTAAGCGTATAAACTGTATCGCCCGCACATTTACTAATACCTGTTTGAAATATTAACGGGCGTAAAATATTAACGATGCTACGAATAAAAAATGTGCAATTAATAATAATGCTGATAAAATGTTACCTTGCGAATTCAGAAGGGGATTTCCGTTCGGAAGATAGGCGTTTTGCTGCGGTGGTTGTGCTCCTGTAAACAGCATACTAGACGAATGACTCATGTATATTACTATATTGGTTCTTGCAAAGTCACAAGAATTCAATTTGCTTTTATACTTGGATAACACTATTGCTCGCCACAAAGTACATTTTCATCAGACTATACATTTTTGTACTTACTTAATTCTATTCTTACAATTTGATTCTTTAATGAGGACTCTTTGCAAGGTAAACGCACAATTGTATACATTTCTTTTTAAATATTTACAAAATGGTTTACGAACGTTCGTGAATTATTGAAGTAACCGCGTGCATACTAACCCGAAAGAGCACCATTCGTGGGAGCTGGTCGCGGTATACCAAGACCAAAAGAATTCATGTGATTTGGTGTAGAACCAGGGAAACCTGGTGGTGGAAGGCGGCTACGTTGTCCCAAACTGGCTGCAGCCACGGTACTCTGAGCAGGACTTTGTGTACCACTTTGTAGTAAATTTTGTGGAAGACGCGACAGCAGGGAATGCGATTGTTGGAGAACTTGTAGATTCTGCAAGTGTTGGGCTTGTTGTTGTAATTGTGCTATATGAGCAACCTGTAACAGACAACAACATATCTCAAGTCACCGTTAATCAACAGAAACATACAAAATTTATGACCAATCGAGTGTTTCCTACGCATACCTGTGGAAAGTGTTGCTGGCCAAGGTTTGCAATATTCTGTTGATGCTGTATCCTATTTTGTTCTTCTCGTTCTCTTTGCTGTTGTTGCTGCTGCTGAAACAACCGTTGTTGTTGAAGTTGCATTTCATTTTCCATAAGTTCGGCGAGAGCTTTTTGCGTTTCGTGAAAGGGATCGAAACCTAAGTCGTCATCAGCTTTTATATCTGAGCCAGATTCTTTATGATTTCTAACTTCCTCCAGAGTAGCATGACCATTTTGTTTTATGTATTCACAATTCTCTTGGTTTTGTTGCGCCTTTGGAAACGACAGTTAACATGGTTATTAATTGTACCGAACAATACTCAGCCCGTCAGAAGCTTTTCATAAAAAATTCTATTTGCGGTTCTCTTTAAAAATTATTCTTCTCGATTGATCTGTACTATAGTGGCAATGTAATTGAACATGGTATTAAAAAATCACCCGCTGGTTTAATGCAATTTTTAGCAAATCGTAGAAAGGAGTTACGGGGGTTTGATATTATATTGTTAAACCAGTATGAATTTTTCAAAATTGCTCACCTGCAGTGCGAGCCTTTGTTGTAATGAGTTTTGTTGAAAGTCTGCCATAAATTTTGATGCAGGCGAGTTAACGAGCAAACTGGATGTAAAAGTACCAGACTGTTCTGAGAGTGCGGTATACTGCAAATTGGAGTAAACTTCTTCGTCAACGAAACCTTCGGAGCTAAAGGTTACTCCCGGTGAGCTAGAAGGACTGGATTTTTGTACATGATTCGTTCGTGACGGTTCCGGTTGAAAACCGAAAGCTGCTTGCCAATCTTCGCTCGATTGAACCATTGGCAACGAATCGGGAATAGAAGCTACGCCTGTGCTTGTCCAATTCAGGTTTGGGTTTGCTGTATGCCCAAAAGAAATTAATTTTAACATAAAAAAAATTTTTGTCTTTTTCTATATCGAAATGTACCAGAAAATATTACACTTTTCGGTCACTTTGCTTCCAGATTTCTTTAAAACCATTCATACAAATAAAGTATATCAAAGTAACTACATACCAATGCATCATTGAAAAACTCTTCTTACTCTGATTACAAAAGCAACGTCTATCTTGCTTTTGTTTACATTTTCGCTGTTTGTTTAACTCACCCAATTTATAATAGCGTTGGTGACATTAAACATAAATGTATGGTGTTTTTTTTGCTTTCAAAAAACCACTATAGTATTATAGAGAAATGTAATTGCTATTGGAGTAACGACAGAAGATCCAGAGATCATCTATTTTTGACTAATTATCGGTTAATAAATTAAGGTTTTGAAACATATGATATTTTCTGGAACACTCTAAAAGAACATAACAAAATGAACAGATAAACAATAAAACTGACTTGGCCTTTACGATGCTTGATAAAATGCAGAAAATATTATACATATCCCCAAACGCTAAATTTATAATATGTGCAAAAATCAATGTATAAAAATCACAACACCGAAAGTAACTATGTACATGCCTGTCAAAGAAGCGGGTGGCACTGAGGTGGTGGTAGAGATTTTCTGGAAAGTGTTTGAACTGAAGAAGCTGTTATTGTCCGCCTGAAAGATTGACCGATGACTGAGTTGCATTTGGGACCCATTATGCAGTCCTGGCGGCGGCTGTTGATTGGCACCTTGTGATGAATTTGTGCTAGCTGGAGAGGAACCTACAGATGATACGCACAAATCTCTACACTACGAGACGACGCGATCAAAACATTTTGATACTTTTACAATGCCAGAATAAACAGCTTCTAACACTATTCCTCTCTGCCACCATTAATGAACCTCAATAATGTATAAAAGTGTGCCTGGAAAATTTACTCGATGACCACATATCTAATGACCGTACATCTACAAATGGAACAAGATCTTCGTAAACATTCATAGTACATGAAAATAAAGAGGAAAACAAATAGATATTTTCCAGACACTTAATGTACATGTGTGCCTGAATGATGTAATTTGCAAGGAGGATAAAGTCAAGATATGTACACAGACACAAAAAACAGTTACTATTTTTTTTTTCAAAGAGTCCTCTTTATTTTGGCATATATCTATAACGATTTAAATTCTATTCTACAGTTATGAGACATAGTTGGAAACATTCGTATGTCATCAACATATTATACATTGCTTAGAAGTTATCGTTTCTTGTATTTCAAGTATATACAACATATAACACATGTTATAAAAGATAAACACACAATTTTAGACCGACTTGTGAATTGTTACAAATATTTTTTATGACATTGATTAAAATGATTGAAATAATATAGTTACTATGCGTAATCCGTTTGTAAGACTTCAGTTAGTGTCTACGATCCAAGTTCTTTTATACTCTCGGAATGCGCATGCTAAGTTTTGTTAAATTTTTCAAGAACTTCAAGGAACAATTATATAAAGAACTGTAACGTACTAACACAAGGGAATATACAAATATTGTGCAAGAAATTAGATCATTTTTTGAACTCGCTATAAAACAAAAAAAGTCAAGTTTGGTCCTTATTTTCCAGATCTCCAAACTCAAATAATCGAAAAATTTATGTCAATCGCTATTCTATAATAGTTTGGAATAATACTCTTGTAAAAGAAAAAAAAATGTTTTCATTTCTTCGTTTCCGTTTCTCCATTTTATTCGCGTTATTTTTTTTTCAAATTTACGTCGAAGTGAACTCGAACGTTTTGTATGTTCATTTTAGAAGCAGAAAATCAATACATATGGAAATGATCACGAATATAAGGAACTCACCCAAAATAGCAGCACCATTGTTCTCCTCGCTTGATTCTGCTAAATGTTCTACTTGTTGATTCACATTCGAATCTTCTGTACTCGATATTGTACTAGCCGGTGTACTACCTTCGCGTTGCTGATCTGTCTCACTATCCGAATGTCGACGTTCTCCATTTTCCACTACCCCGTTTACTTTAACTTCTTGCGACTGTTGCTGCTGCTGAACTAATTTCGATCCTTTATTACTTTGTTGCTGCTGTTGCGGCGACGGCTGTTGCTGTTGCTGTTGTTCCGATTTGCATTTGTTACCCAATTTTTGCAAAACATCGCTATTCGTTTCGGACGTGAAATTTCTAATATCCTTTTGTCCATTAATTTGTGGTTGTACATTGTTTTGCGCGCCGATAGAGCTCGACTCGGACCGTGACGTTGTTCGCGTACTATGTTTCTCCTTGTTCTGACAATTTTTATGTTTATTTCGCGCTGCCTGTGCTTTACTTTCGCTATTACTTTTGCCTCTCCGTAAATTCATACTCTCGCCTTTGTTGTTGTTATTTTGTTGATGCGTGGACCCGCCGGACAATACGTGACTTTGTTGATTTGTCGTACCGTTTCCGTTCGTTATGTTGTTCGGTTGCGAGGTTGCTTGCGATGGCGGTGATAGTTCTTTACAATTTGTTTGTGTGCCTGTGAATATACAAGGAAACCAATTGACAAAATCCTCTACATTTTCTTTTTATCTTATGAATCGATTTTTATCGGAACTTAAGTGCAAAGTCAACACTTTTAGCATCGACTGATAATTAAAACGATAGATCGTGATTGATGGTTTTGGTTACATTGGTTTTCTTGAATTTTCTATATAAAAACAGTTACAATTATTTGGTGAACTTACTATTTGTTTGTCCAGTCTGTAACGATGGCCAAGCTTCTTTGGCTTGAGAATTTGAAGTTCCGTTCTCTCGAACAATGCTACCCGTCACAGATGGCGAAGGTGTTGGTTTTCTGTGCAACACAAAGACAATGGTTCGTCCAAATTAATTACCCATTTTCGTTTACTTTAAATGTAATTAATTAATTCGAAACGTAGAGAAAATACCGTTGGGCAGACGCATGCGATGCATGTAACGATTGCACGAGCTTCCGTTCATATTCCTGATGTTTCCCTTGATGCATCTCCTCCTTAGTAAACGATGCCTCCTGGTCCCCAAGATCATGTAAATACATACAGTCCGGTTTCGGACAAGGCTGATTACGCATAAAATGTGAACAATACTTTGTTGTCCCTAGTGACGTTTTTATTGTTCGACCATCCATAACAACATTATTTACAGCCTCTATAGCACGCAGTGCATCCTCTTGACGCTAATATTATATCAACGTTAAAATATAAAATATGAGCAAATAATGTTTTGGAGGAAAGCAATTAATAACTTACTTGGTAGGTAACATAAGCCGAAGCGCTAGGGCCTTGAGACCCTGCGTAGGAAGTGCTTTGATTTATTACAACTTTGTGAATTTTACCAAATTTTCCAAAATATTCATGTCGCTTTAATACCTGCAAGAAAGTTTATAAATTTATTGTAGTTTCTTTCACAGATACACTATATTATTTACAACATTGTAATATAAAAGGAAACTTCGATTTATTCTGAACTTTTACTCACATCAGCATCCGCAAGTCGCAATGGTAATCCTACTACAAATACTAGATTTTTTTGTACTACTCTCACATTTGCTAGATGTTTACGGTTTTCTGTAACTCTCTGCTTACGTTGTTGATCTTTTAATCTCTTTTCGGCTTTTAATCTAACAAAAGAAACATTATTTTCTACCACTGTTCGTTCCTTTGTAGTTGACACAGAATCAAATAACAACAATAAAATAAGCAACAACCTTGCGATTTCTTCCATACTGAGAGGCTTAAAATCAGCAGGATTTTCAGAGTAGGCCTTCCGACAAGCAGGGCACAAACCATTCTCATCGGTACGAATTCTGTGCCAGCAAAAACGACATATTTGATATCCGCAAGTGCACGGGAAAAAATTCAAATCGTCCACCTCCAATGGTTCCATACATAAAGGACACTCCACTGCATCTTCCCCGCTTTGATTCAATACTGACATTTTTGTTACTGTCTTTTCTATCACACAATATAGCGTATCACCAAGATTTTTCTATTTGTAAATCCTGTACACAGATAAATATGTTTCACAGACGATGTTCGTCGCTTTGGATACGGTACGAGCGAAGAATATATTTATTATCGAAATATTTGTGTACATTAACCGTTTAATTGAAAAAGACACGCACAATAACAATGGGAATGCTCACAATGTATGTTTTAATACAAAAATAACATTTCAAAGAATCTTTCTTTATATATACGTCTTTATATGTACGGTATACTTACGTGCAAAGTTTTGGCAATGCCTCGATACTATGTAATTGACTGTACTTGTAACTTCTTACACACTAGTATCCTTGCACAATCTGAAACAAATTATAGGATATGAATGTGTTATACCGAAAGAATGTTTATGAGTCAGACCGTATCATCGAATGCTAGCGGCCGTTTACGAACAATTCCACGTCGAACAGTGAGAGACTTTGGTATGCAATCGAACGAATTTACGAACGTTTCACCGCCGGGACTCGAAACTATTGGCGTTATCTGAACACGCGAGATTGTAGAGTTATTTTCGAATTAGCGCGTACCAAAAAAAAAATTGGAGCAGAATCTTTCTTGCGGAAAATAGACTGCGAAACGGTGACTGTTTGGCTGACAGATTTGACGAACAGTTGGAAAGGAAGGTCCGTTTGACAGGAGCTGTCAGACGAACGGTGAACAAACAAAGGACGCTACGAATTTCAAGCAATTAGAATGATTGTGTACGCCCTACGATGGACGTACAAATGACAAGTTTCTACGAGAGCTTGAGATCGACGACGAAAAACTTGCGGTAGGGCCACCGTCTGCACTCTCCCACTCACTTTCTCTCTTTCTCTCTCGCTCCCGCGACGAGATACGGACTATACGAGAGGGCGACGATCGGACGAAACAGCTGTTGGTGGCGTCGAGAGAAGTGAAGAAACGTCAGAGAGCGAGTGAGAGGTACTACGCCATAGCAGAAACCTACGTGAAAATCCGTGAAAAATCGACGTGGTGGGGCATGACACGGAAATTCTTTGCAACTTTTAATACGGCTATCCACATACGCAAGGACGATGGACTCGACGTTTCGCGATACGATTTTGAAGGAGGGAAAAGGCTAGTGGCGAGCGAGAGAATGAGAAATGGAAGTAATGAAAGGAGTGGCGGAGGGAAAGAGGGGGAAGGAAAGAGCAACCGGAGGGAGGGGGAGGGGGTATTAGTGAGAGTGAAAGAGTTAGACATAGAAAAAGGAAAACAGATAGAGCAACGATGCCATCCATTAGTTTCGTCCTTTTTTAGCCAACGATCGTTGTCTTGATCTTGCGCGTGAAAGAAAAAGACTCTCACCGAATCTCACGTCTCTTTGTGCATACGTCCTTTTTCAAAATCGTAAGGCTTGTTCGAACGCAAACAACTGTGATCCCCAACAAATACACAAGCTCTCTTAATGTACAGTTTATGTAAAAGAGAACTGCAGTAGCCCGATTAACATGGTATGGTTCGCCGCGAACGTCACAAAGGATTGAATGATTTGTCGCCAGAGGGGTTGCTAAATACCCTGGACTGGTTACAGGGTATACTTGGCTCGTTTAACCTTAACTACGCTCAATAGGGTAACTATTTCGACAGTCGTCGTGCCTCGAAAACCGCGTGCCACTGTTTTCGTTGACTCTGCAGCCAACTACGCGCATTCGTCAATTCAGATTTTTCGTCCCCTGTTTACTTACGTTACAACTTTTCCACTAACAAATCTCTTTTCTGTACTGGGAAATTTTTGTACAGTCTTCAAGATCTGATCGCATGCGCACCGCGACTGCGCAGAAGCGGACGTTACATACACTGGTATTTAAAGAAAGGCGAATAGGTAAAGGATTCTGAAAGCGCATGTCGAACAGAACTTCGATTGTGTTATTATGTGAGTCGAATTTTTGCCCCTGATTCTTTTTGTTCAATTTAATATGTCTGTACTTATACGCGACGCAATATAAATATTAATCGAAGCGTTCACAAAAATAGGAAAGGTTATACCACGGTTTTCTGTGTTTACGATTTTTACATTTTATATTTACCGCGCTCCCGGAAATAATCGGTAACCGATCTGACAGTACCGCCAATAATCGAGGACAAATATTTCTAGCGTTGAATAAAATTAGGGCCGAGACCATTCGAATTTATAGGGATTTGAACATCACGAATAAACTTCGAATATTTGAGTATCCGTTTATTACTATTTCGACGAATGAACGCAACACAAATTCCCTAAAATGGTGGAAATTAAAAGACGAATCTTATTCTCTGGTAGAATCAAAGAAATGATTTTTATACAGGATATCTCAGGTTTTAATGGCCAAACTTTCTCAGTTGTTTGTTTTATTTTATAAAACTTGTAAATCTAATCTTACATTTTACTTTTCCTTCATAAAATCGATGTCAAATTGACGCCCTATTCGTAATTAATTTATTGAACATGCTTAATGCTTATTGACATTTAACTGTAATTTAAAAAGATTAACATACACGACTTCATGAATAGTATGATACACAATTTGTCAACGGTATATAATTTTTAAGCAAAGTATAATGTACAATGTTTTTCTTTACTTGTGTCATCTTTGTTTTACGAATAAGTTACTTTATTGCACACTTTCTGACTTTACCTTCGTGGCTTACACCAAATAATGGATGACGAATTTTCAAGTTTTTAGGGAACGGTACACCAGAATTTTCTATTTGCATTGGTTTAGTCTTTGAAGTACCTGAAAGTTTCCGTCTAATGGTTATCGTACCTGCTGGCTTTGCATTAACTGCGCAAACAAAGACGTAAAAAATGTAATGCTACCAATAAAAATCACCGACTTCGAGCTAAAGAAAGAAAGAAGAAAATACCTGTTTTATATCGCGTTTTTGTTTTGCCAGTATTAAATACACAAGTTATATTGCATTTAATATCATGATGCACCGCACAGTAACGTTCTTCCTTAATTTTAAACTTTGATTTCTCTCCAAATACTAATATTTGACCTTTTAGTTCTTGTGGATCGATCTATAATTTATATAATGCTTACACTTATCATACAACTTTGCTTATACGTAAAGCGGCCATAGACGGTCGACTCACAGTTCTAGGAATGTCCATTATCCACATTTCTTCGTTGTCCGATATACTGTCAAAGTTAAATGTGGGATCTGTAGATTCGACAATTAAATTCTCTTCTTGTATTAAGTCATTGATCTGAAATAAAATTTATACAGTGACTATATCTAAAACAATAATAAATAATTCATAAATTAAGTTCTATTTACATTATGCGGTCTAGGAGCAGTTGATATACTCATTGACATTCTATCACGATTTATTGTTCTGTTATTTTCTTCATTTTGTGCTTCTATTCTATGTTGTTTGTTTCTCTCTTCAGACTTTTTCAAAATACTTTTTCTGGAGATCGGCGAAACGTTAGAAGCACTGGCAGGTTGAATTTTTGTATTAATTTTTATAGATCTGTTACTTTTCGATTGGTGTGTTTTATTTTCTGTCGATGTATCCATCAAAACCATAGATTTATTCAGTTGTGTATTCAACTTGGTTAAAGAATCATCTATATCCAAGTCAGTCATAATATTTAACAAGACAGTGAAAGCTGTGCAGCCCACTACTTGTTATCTCAAAAAATTATATTTTATCTTTAAACAAAATCCGATTACGTTAACAATCACGTACGGAATACGGTTTTTTCATTTCTTATATATTTCACGAATTGAAAAGACTGTTAAGCAGTTGTATATTGTTTACACACATCGATTGAAGGAACATTAAAATTAAGTAGCTGTATCAACATAAATAACATTTACACGTGTTATTGTCCTGAAAATTCTCTAGTGATATAGTTACAACACAATACATAACAACACTACGCGCCTAAAGTGAATTCTAGTGCATAGATCGGAATGGATTAAATTAATTCAACGATAGAACTACACTACATCACATGTATTACACATCTGCATATATTATGATGTTTAATACTTTAATTCTTTCTACTTAAGATCTAGTTAGAACAGTCAGTCACGAAAATTTTCTCTTAAAAAGATCATTCATAGATAAACAATAATTTTGTATAATATTACGTTTATTTGTTAATATGTGAAATAATATTAAGTATTCTATATAAAAATGTATAGGCTTATTTTATTCAATAAGCAAAAAAACGAAATATGTGTATCACAAAAGTCTTTTTGTATCTTAAGGCATGATTTCTAGTGAATCTAGTGAATCCAATAAATTTTGTTCCTCACTTTTGAATTTATTAATTGATAATTATACAGATTGTTTAATGGAATGTAAATATTCTGTACTTCATAGTGGACAAATAATTAGCTCGAGTTCTGAATTTTATCGATACTTAAGTATCGTTTACTAATTTCAATGAAATACGTTTTACCGTGCGATGGCGTATCATACGAAACATTTACGAACAAACACGTGAGACGGTTGTTCTATATTTATTAATTTCATAGATCAAGTTAAACCGAAAGCGCCTATTTTAGTTTAAAGATAGTTTTTAAGAATTGTTTTTTAATCTTCTAAAATGTCTGGTTCTGAAAGCTTGCGACGATCTACACGAATTCAGAGTCGTGCTAAAGGTAACGAAGAAATTGAAATAAACGTATCAAATAATGATATTACTATATTTATCGATAATATTTAAATTTTTAAACTCGTGTATTGTTTTTATAATTTATGTCTTGACACCAACATCAAATCTTGCGTTTAAAAAATTGAATATACATAAAGCAGCGGTTCCGAATGATTTGTTTCACATTACAGAACATGGTAATTCAAAACATGAATTGACAAACAAAGATGAGGATTCTATGTCGGAGACAAGACTTATGAGAAAAAAAGAATTGGAGAATATTGAAGAATCCATACAAAAACCAGTTGGTAATTTTTCAAAAGCATTTTGCCGAAGAATCACAAATTATTGTAACTTCTCGATTTTAAACTATACATTATTTATTTAGAATTGTTTTCTGACAACGATGTCAGCGGTGAAAAGTTATATGGCTTTCAAACACCTAGCGCTAAAAAGAATGCTATGACGCGCAAGGCAAGTTTGTGCCATACACCTGTTAGTATAAAAAAGACAGAAAAACTTGTGCTTTCGGTTGTTCTTGACAAAATACAGACGAAACCAGATGGATCGTTAAAAATAGATAATAAAAATTCTTGCGTGAAAAGTATGATTCTTTCTCTGATTATCTGTATAAAACATGTTTTTTTTTTTAATCCTTTGAGTGCACACAGTGTCTATAGATGCTTGGTTGATCAGTTGTATATGTGCGTGTATATCACACGAATACATGCTGAATACATAAAAAAGTTTCTTTGCAGTCAAAGGGTTAATACCAAGAGTAAAACGTTATTAATCTTAACTCTTAAATAATAGCTTCAACTATCCAAAGAAGATATTTGTTGGAAATACCTTCTAGCGAAAGCGAAAGCGTATCGGAGAATAGTGAATATGTATTATCTAATAGCGATACAGAAAGTGAAACAAGCGAAAAAGAGACTTCTATAGATAGTAGTGATGAAGGGCATAAAATTGAAAAGAAGAACATAAGACAGAAACCCGTATTTCAGGCAAATTTAGTCGGCACACCAAAGAAAACAAGTAGTAGAAATAAGCCTGCGATTATTCATAAAGATTTTGTAAGTAGATCTTAAATGTAGAATATAATTGGAGTGTAGACTCCAATTGTGTATAATGGTATTTTGTATTTTATATTTTTAAAGCACATAAAAACTGACGAATATTTCAAAACACAATCGGAAAAAGTGACTACGTCAGATCGAACATTAGAACGGCTACGCAATTCTCGTTTAACAAAGGAAAGTTTGGGGCAATTATTAACGAATCACAATTACGTGTCTACGCAACATAAAAAAATCGTTTTGTCATTATCTGAAAACTATGCAAATTTATATAGCATGTGGGATTTTATCATGGAGTAAGTATCAAAAACTATATTTCTTAATAAACGAGATAATATTCTATATTATTTCAGGCAAGGTTTCACTGTATTGCTTTACGGCGTAGGATCAAAAAGATGTTTAATTAATACTTTTCATAAAAGCATATGTTATCATCCGTCGCTAATAGTGAACGGATTTTTTCCCAGTCTGACTGTGAAGGATGTAAGTGACGGAGATACAATTGGAATATAAATGTTCAAATAATGCAACAATTTAAGACATCGAAATCTCTTTTAGATATTAGATGGTATAATTACTAATTTAATGAGGTTAAGTTGTCCCGCTAATATGAGCGAGTGTATAGATCTCATTGAAAAAGTATTGAAGGAAAACCCAAATGATAGAATTTACTTGCTTATACATAACATAGATGGTATGATGTTGCGATCGAATAAAGCTCAAGACATACTCTCTTGTCTTGCGAGCATACCGAATATTTGTGTCGTGGCATCAGTTGATCATGTCAATGCACCATTATGTATGTATTATTTTTTATATTCTGATTTCTGTTATTTTCGATCATTTTCAAATGATTGTATATTTACAGTATGGGATCACATAAAACGCTCAAAATTTAATTTCTTTTGGTGGGACACGACTACATTTTTGCCTTACCGAGAAGAGACATCTTACGAAGGTTCACTCTTAGTGCAAGAAAGTGGTACACTTGCTTTGTCGTCTCTTCATAATGTTTTCCTATCCCTAACCTCAAATGCTAAAGCAGTCTACTTGCTACTTGCTAAACATCAATTCAACAATCCTAGTAATGTTAATTCGGATGGTAATTATCTATATTAAACATTGCTTGATGATAAAATTGTAGACGTTTTAAAATCACTAATATTTATTTTTATTATTAGGGATGGCATTTAAAGATCTTTATCAGGCTGCGCGCGAAGGATTTATTGTAAGCTCAGATTTAGTGTTGAGAGCACAGTTGACTGAATTCATAGATCACAAATTAGTGAAGGTAAAACGTAACATTGACGGTGTTGAACATCTCGTAATTCCACTGAGCAAAGGACTTTTAAAACAATTTTTGGAAGAATATGACTTGTAACGTTTCTAAATAGGATTATGATAAGGTTATGTGATAAACTATGTTTAAGATTTATATTACATTTATTTTTTAACAATATGTATTTTATATAATGTTTTGTAGAAAAATAAAACGTTTTGCAGAGAACCAATTTTGTAATGAAAATACTTCGTGCGATAAAATTTCTTTGCTCTTCGTTTACAAATCTGTTAAAATCATTTATTTTACGAAACATTTTATTCCATGATGCAAAAATATTTTTTAATACAATTGCGAGAATTTAAATATCTAGAAGAGTAAGATATATATAATTTACACCATCTTTATAATCACTGGTATGTATAAGGGACATTAACGCCATTAAAAAAAAAAAGATTGTTTGGTTAAAAGTTTTGATTATTAAAAACGTTAAAATTTGATACGGTCTAAACTAGACCAGCATAGTTCGGTAAGACTGTTGCCAGCATTTTTCGTAATATGTCGAATATACTGTTTTTGCAATAGAGTAATAATTAACATAGAGGATCGTGCAAATTAACACAAACATAGCTCCGCGCAGCATGCACTTTCTACAGTTTCTACATCATGTTGGTAGCATACGTGTAACGCGTACTGTTGGTATCATTTAAAAGCGGAGCGCCAGTGGTAACGTCGTGAATTATTTTTTGCGTGCGATTATGACACGATAGCCGGGTAGTGAATAGAATACGGTAATGGCAATAAGATGTCAGTCACGTTAGGTCGTAAACGAAATTACGCGCTGGCAAAGGGTTAAATGACCGAAAGCTCGTTAACGCGTTCGCTCCACGATCCGATAGGTAATTACATTGTTACAAAATTGCTATTCAACGCAGTCTAGTAACGGCCGAAACTCGAGAATCTGTCGATATCGCGTGAATTACAGAGAACAGATCGTGAATGCAATCGTACAGCGCGGTGTACAGTTACCGGCTTGTTATTCAATTACATTTAAATCTAACCTAACTTTCTCGCGGTCGTATTTTTAACGGGGTTAACTTAGTCACGCTGGGATGCTTTGCCTTTTTTTAGCTACGAACAATGTTGTAAGCTCGTTGGAAATGTTAGTGCGCGAACGTGTGCGTGTGTGCAACATTCCGTTAATTACAGTTCCGATTTGACATTGTAAACATGACAACTTGACCTTACAATGGCAAGTTGGACGACCTTGACTTTGGCAAGTATACAATGACCGAGTAGACGCTCCTGTCGGTTAGAATTAAACATTTTACTTAGATCTTTGACAACGCGATTGAAGAAATTCTATGTCATTAATCGATGCCACGAATAAAATGATCTGGTGGCATGTGGCAAGTTACAGCTGTAAATTACGTTTAATTTTTCTTTTTTTTTCGCTAATGCCACGAGTTTTTTTATTTTTATCGAACGTTTTACAAATGTTTTAATATATGTAGATTCATAAAAGGATATTTTTTTGTTTAAAATTCTATTTTATAGTATATTATTGTTATATTTATTTTTTGTTCTTTTTTTTTATGGTTTAATGTGTCTGTACACGTAAAGTTTTAGATATTTATTTCATTCGAATTCTTAAAACAGAGGTATAGGTATATTGCGAAGCGTATATAACACAAATGTTCACATTCGAGCTGACTTTTAATGTAGATAACATTTTTCTTTGTCATAGGTAATCTATGAGTACATTTGTGGTAGAGTGGTTACTTCCATACGCTGTTTCGGTGAGTCAGTAAATACATGTTTAATTTTGTGATAAGTTATCTAAATATTTACATTGATATATCATACGATATGATGCATTATATTTCTCCCAATATTTAATTCTTTTAATTGCGATGTTGATATTACAATTGTATAAATTACATTGTTCCGCTAGCCATCATATGCTATATTTAAACTCTGATGTCTTGACATCATCGCTTAGCATCGTACTTATTAAAAGAAATATCATTATAAAGTCACAGTTGGATGCTAGAAAATCTAGAAAATTAATTAATTAAAAAAGAATAAAATCGATCGATGGTCCAATGTGTTATCTTATCTCTTTTATGTAATGGAGTAATTTAAAAAATATTTCTGATGCATGATATCTATGATTATGAATGTCATAAAACGTTAATTAATATATCAACAAAGAAACCGATTAATTTATTGTGTAATGTACAGTAAATCGAACAATTTTTCAAGGGAGAACACGAGTAGTGGAATATGGTCGTGTTCTCAAAAAAGTTTTACTAAAAGATTTTTAACACAAGATTTTTAACACAAGATTTTTTAGAAATTATTAATTTGAGTGTAAACATGTTTAAACGTATTTGTACATCATGTGTATTTACATTACATAATGTAACAGGCACATGTTTAATAACCTTTATGTTCTATAATCATTTTTGTTTCAACAAAATGAAAGGCTGTGTTAGCTTTTTAACACATTTTTATGGTTCAGTGTACCATTTTAATGTTACAACGTATTTAACAACAAACGTGATTTGAATTTAATATGAAATACAATTTTTTATTATCTCCCGTAAGGAAGAGTGCAGTAACCGTTTTTATCGACGGGATCATTTTCATTCGATGATGGTTTGGATTTTCTCTATTTCTGCCGCTAGGTTACGTTCTCAGTCCCTTGTCTTTCACAACGATTTTTTGGTGGTTTCGTTCGTAATTCTTCCAGTAATAAGTTCTTGAACATTTTGTGATATTTTATTAAGTTTCGTCAATATTCTCAATAATGCCAAGAAGCTGCTATGTAAGTACGACGTGACATTCAAAGAATTATTTGCAAATAAGTTTGAGATAATACACATACAATCGTATTATATCGTATTCGAAATTAAATAACGTGACTACAACATCTGATAATTCGAAAACATTTTGTCGGCGTTGAAAATTACTTTTCATTTGCGTCATTGAGATACGAGAACTGTTCGAGTTGTTAGGTTAACAATGAAGGAAATGAAATTATTAATCATCTTAACGCATAATTATTGAAATTCTGCATGTTTGTTTGTAAAAAATAATGCACAGTTATTTTTGCTGTCGAAAATTCATAATAATTCGTAAATTACGGTCTGATTTAAATTGCAACCATAATTACTACGTAGTTCAATTCAACGACGTTTATGCAGCACGAATATTTCATTCGAGTTTAACAAAATTACGTTCTCTGGTAAACAATGCTTGATTTTTGAAAATATTAATTTTAACATTAATATTATAATGTAAGAAAATAATTATAAGAGAACTGATCTCACAAACATATGTTAGGCAGAAACCAAAACGGGGAACGGAGAGAGGGGGGCTTTGTGTACCCCTGTTCGGTAGTACGAAATAGAAATTTAAAAAGACTGTTTAACGCTTACAATAAAATATTATTAACGACATCGGTGGCCCTTGCGAATTTTTCCATCGTTTCTCGGCTAATATCACGTAACGACACTTAATGCAGATTTCACTTTCCTCGAGCAAACCAATCTCGTCGAGTGGTCTGTTCATTTCTTCGACGGTCATTACCTTTTACTCTCCTACCAACTTAGTCCGCATACGATAGACGTTTAAGCGACATTTGTCACGAATAACGACATTACGAGTAATAGATTTAAATCGTACGCGTTTCGATTTGTTCGTATCGATCGATTTGCCATTAATTTGCGTCATAAAGAATCATTTAATCAAATTCAACAAAAAAAAAAATTTCAAATCGTTCTGGAAAAATTATTTTCGGTTGCGAGGGGCAATTACAATCATTTTTGGTGATTAGACATACCCCCGAAATCCTACTCACTTTCCAGAAAAAAATTCGAAAAGGTGTGAAATTTTTCGACGGAAAAAAAATTTCAAATTGTTTTGGAAAAATTATTTTCGGTTGCGGGGGTCAATTGCAATCATTTTTGGTGAATAGACATACCCCCGAAATCCTACCCACTTTCGAGAAAAAAATTCGAAAAGGTGTGAAATTTTTCGACGGAAAAAAAAAATTTCAAATCGTTTTGGAAAAATTATTTTCGGTTGCAGGGGTCAATTGTAATCATTTAATGTGAATAGACATACCCCCGAAATCCTGCCCACTTTCTAGAAAAAAATTCGAAAAGGTATGAAATTTTTCGACGGAAAAAAAAAATTTCAAATCGTTTTGGAAAAATTATTTTCGGTAGCGGGGGTCAATTGTAATCATTTTTTGTGAATAGACATACCCCCGAAATCCTGCCCACTTTCTAGAAAAAAATTCGAAAAGGTGTGAAATTTTTCGACGGAAAAAAAAAATTTCAAATCGTTTTGGAAAAATTATTTTCGGTTGTGGGGGTCAATTGCAATCATTTTTTGTGAATAGACCTATCCCCGAAATCTTGCGCATTTTCGAGAAAAAAATTCAGTACGGGCGGAATTTTAAACGTTAATAACTTTTTAACGAAGCTTCAATTAATAAATTAGTATTCTTGATTTTCGTCTTATTTTGGCCTCCAGAATCTCCCATTAAAATTTTTCCCAGGGTTGGCCGAACACCCTGTATTATCGAAACTTCTCGCGTACATCAAACCGAGATACTTCAACAAGCGATAATTTCAGCTCTAAGACCCATTGTCGGAGATTTGCTGACGCGTGCAATACTACAAACTCGTGTCCGTGTACGCTTAACCAATTTCCGCTTATTTTACCAAAATCGAGGTCGTGGAGCCGTTAAGCGTCAAGTCAAGGATCACTTACGATCATCAAGTCAAGATTCTATGTGTGTGACTTATGGAACTCTTTTTATCTTGACTATGATTCTTTCCATTTGCGTGGTATCGTTGCACGCGCGTGTATTACATCACCTTAAATAATGCATCATTGTTGTAATATTGGCTTTGGTTTACTCTTATTGTCGAATAAGTCCCGACTTTTGATTAATTGTAATATTCGTATAACTTGATAAATTTCTGGCTTAGGAATATTCCCAAGCATACGATCCTTCCGTGTTGCCAATCGCTGCCACCCAAGTAGATCTTTCTGCGTGGCACGTGCGTTGAGACAATGAGTCGCAACATTAGCAATATC